TTAAAAGAAATGTCGTGATCACTCGACTATGTTGATATAAATTTCTGTTTTTTGGAATAAAGGGTATTCGATAAATTATATAGAGGACCCAAAATGTTGGAAATGTTAGGAATGAACCTATGATAGAAATTTATCATTCCTAAAAACCTTTGTAATTGTTTCAATGTTGTTGGAGTTGGAAATTCCGAAATTGCAGCAATCCTGGACTGAGAAGGTCGGATTCCTTCGGCAGAAATTTGATGACTTAAAAAATCTAGAGCAGTTACACCAAATACACATTTCGAAGGTTGAATAGAGATGTTGTAAGAACTTAATCTTTTGAATAAATGTTCTAAATGTTGGTAATGCTCTTTCTCGCTTCTACTGGCAACAAGGATGTCGTCCAGACACCCTCCATTAATCCTCCATTAAATCCATTCCATTACAAGTAATGGAATGGATTTACATCGAAATATCAACAAAATGGTAACATAGCAATTTGGGTAATTTGATAAATTTATAATTTCTATGTGAAGGTAGGTTGTGTACGCTACAATAAAAACGAAATAAACAAAGAGAATTAAAATGTAAAAGTGAACGAAGGCGATGAAGACGATAAGGAAAAGAATGAAGATGACTACAGAAGAAGTGAGGGTGAAGAGTATGAAGAAGAGAACAAGGTGGAAGAAGAAGAGGTAGAACAAACGATTAGAACCAACAAACCAAGGGAAGAATAAGACAACATGAATGGGAACCTAATTAGAGAAGAAAGAGAAGAATTGAATGAAGTTTTGCTTCAAAATGACGATATATTTGCCAGAAATTTCAACGAAATCGGGCAAACTAAATCGACGGAAATGGTCATTGAATTAACCAACAACGAACCAATAACATGCCGACCATATCGTACACCTTACGCGAAACGCGAAATCGTGAGCAAAATGATTCGTGAACCTTTGGATGCCGGTATTATTCGTGAATCGGCGTCGGATTACGCAAGTCCGACAGTCTTGGTAAAGAAATCGAACGGTGATGAACGTGTATGTGTAGACTATAGACGCTTAAACCAAATAACAAAGATAATGTATGTGCCGATGATGAACATTGATGAGCAGCTAGACGGGTTATCGGGAAATAAATATTTTACTATATTAGATTTGTCAAGCGGGTATTACCAAATTCTTATCGCGGAAAAGTGTCGAAAGTTTACTGCTTTTGTAACCACGGACGGACAATACGAATTTACGCGCATGCCTTTTGGACTGGTTAACGCGCCGAGTGTTTTTTCAAGATTAATGTCACAGGTAACTAACAAGCTTAAACCTGGATATGTTTCAGTATACATGGATGATGTGCTTATACCGAGCAAAACTGTAAAAGAAGGTATGGAAAAGTTACAAGTGTTGCGCATATTTAAAGAAGAGGGGTTAACACTCAACAAAACAAAATGTCGATTCCTGCAAGATAAAGTTAATTATTTGCTTTTGGAAGTGACCGGAGATGGAATACGTCATGGAACGAGAAAAATTGGGACTTAAATACGGCACTTCAAGCAGCCACAATCCGCACGTGAGGTTAGACAGTTCTTGGGTCTAACTGGATTCTTTAGAAAGTTTGTGCAAAACTACGCCTTGATTGCAAAACCGCTTACCTTATTAACTAGAAAAGAAGCCGATTGAATTTGGACCGAAGACCAACAACAGGCATTTCAAGAATTGAAGACTCGATTAACACACAAGCCGATACTAACATTATACAACCATGAAGCCGACCTAGAAGTACACTCAGATGAGAGCAAAAATGGGTTGGCAGGAATTCTTCTACAACGAGTGCTGAAGGGAGCCTTACAACCAATAATGTATTACAGCAGACAGACGACAGAACTAGAAAGCAAGTATCACAGTTTTGAATTAGAAGCATTATCAGCTACTGAAGCTATCGAAAGATTTAGGATGTATCTTTTGGGTAACAAATTTATATTGGTCACCGATTGTAACTCTCTCAAAACAATGGTGAAGAAGAAAATCTATCGCCGCAAATTGCCAGATGGATCCTTAAACTGCAAGAATTTGATTTTGATGTCGTACATCGACCGGACGAAAGCATGAAGCATGTGGATGCCTTAAGCCGATCACCACACGAGATTCCGAGATTCACGGAACCGGTAAGCTTGGATGTCTTAAACATTAAACCAGAAAATTTTGGCTGGCTGCTAACTACGCAACTACAAGATACTAAAATTGCGAATATTAGAAATACTCTAACGAACAAACCAGGTACCAATGAAGAGCGACAAATTCACAAAGACTTTACTTTCAAAAAGAATGCACAGAGTAATTGACAAGAAATTAAAATAGCGAGTAATAAAATCGAGTCATGATGAGATGGGACACTATGGAATTGAAAAGATATTAGAGATTATAAAGAAACATTACTAGTTCCCAAAGATGCGGAAGAAGGTTACAAACTACATCAAGTCTTGCGTAGAGTGCTGTTATCATAAAACGAAAAGTGGAAAACGAGAGGGAGAGCTACATGTTATTGAAAGAATACCGATACCGTTCCATACCGTGAATATTGACCACCTAGGACCTTTTCCTCGAAGTTCCAAAGGGAACGCACACATCGTTGTCTATGTGAACAATTTTACAAAGTATACATATATGGAGGCATAACGAGACACGAGCGCTAAGTATGTTATCAAAACGTTGGAAACCGTTTTTTCAATTTTTGGACCACCTAACCGACTGGTATCCGACAGGGGCAGCATTTACGGCAAAACAATTTGAAAATTTCTGCAAGGAACACAATGTTACTCATATCAAAACTGCTGTAGCCACACCACGAGTAAACGGACAAGTTGAACGCTTTAATAGAACCATCACCAATGCTATTACTACCACTTGTAAGAAACCACATGGAAAAGATTGGGACCTAAGGCTAAAACTGATACAATACGCTATGAATTCTGTTAGTAATAAAACTACGAAAGAAACACCTCATGATCTTCTATTTGGTTTTCAACCTAGAAATATCTTTAAAAATAAATTGACTTTAGCCCAAGAAGACGAAGATATAATAGATCAAACGATTTTGAGATTACAAGCTTTAGAAGAATCAAAGACGAACAAGTGAAGCAGAAAGAGTATTTTGATAATCACAGAACGAAACCTACGAAATATCACGTGGAAGATCTTGTTCTGAACCAGAAAGATCCTGTTGCTACGGGGAAACCGAGAAAACTAAAAGCACACTTTAAAGGACCATACCAGATAGCCGAAGTATTCCCGAACGATAGATATAGAATCGTAGACATAGAAGGAGCTGGAAATTCAACCAATTTTACTCAGCTGACCGCCTAAGAACATGGTGTGCACCCTACGATCCGAATGAAGTCGAGGACGACTACAACAGTGTAACAAACCGCCCTGTATATTAAATTGCGTTTTGTATAATTATTTTGCTTAAGTCAGCTTTATCGCGTGAGGCGTTGATGCGCCACCGAGTTCGACTCGGGGAGTCGAGTACCAACTACCAAGGTAGATAGAAGCTACAGTCTTCCCCTTGAGTTCGCTCCATTTCATTTTATTTTTAATTTAAATTGTCAATACTAAATTCGGAAAGGCTTCTAAATACGCTGGTGGTTTGTGCTGGGTAATTTGCTAGAGAAATCGAATCCTCAGATCGAAATTGTGCCTTGAAGCCAGTTCCTGAAGCGTCCGAAACCTGATGGAAGAGCGTCGTCGTGGCGTAGAATAAGTAAGCATAATTAATTACTATTGTTCTTGAAACTCATACTCATCGCTAGTATTTGTATCCATAGTTAACGTTCCGTTATCTAAAATTTGTTCAATTAGTTTTCGTTTTTCTTCTTTAATATTTTAACTTAATTTTTGTTGGTTAATTTATTTTTCTATTTTTTTTTATATATTTTAATTTCCTTAATATATAAATTCTTGTTTCGTATTATTTCAATTTCAACACAAGGGCTACGATCCTCCCTCCTTTTACTCATTAACTTCTTAAACCGTTCGGCCAAGTACGTAACTTGCCTGGTGGCAGCATCTTAAAAATCTTCTATAATTTGTTCTCTTTTTCTGCAAGTACACGCTACCGTACTTCTATCTTTTCCCGTCCGCATAACGTTGGTGGCGGGTGCCCCTTTCTTCCTCTAATATTACATTGGTGGCGGCGGTGTTCCTTCCCTCCGCCAATATTATAACAGTAGCGAAGCTGAATGTGAGAACCTTTTTTTTTTCATCAGTGTGTTTTTTTAGGGAGAAGACAAAAAAATTTGTTTGTAAAATTTAGGCCTCGTTATCTTACAATTTTTATTTGGTTAATTTTCTATCTATTTTATATAAATGTTTTAATGTTAAGCATTGATAACTTACAACAGTGTAAATCACATCTGAAGATACATATCTTCTTCTTGAAAGAATAAGTAAGGAATATGTGTTTAACACTTCATTTATTTTCACAGTTAGTACTTCAAATAATTTTTTTCTTCTTTTTGGTCTCCTGTAAAATTTCTGTTTTAGCAGTTGCGTCATTGTTCTTTTAGAACAGCGATATCACAAGTACGGATTGAGATATAAAGGTGAAATAAAGAACATTTTAAAGAAAATTTAATAAGGATTCAATGTGCCACAAATGATTTCTTATTTTCCATAAACATTGTTATGATTTTTTAAACTTTGCTCTGTATCTTTGATTATTTCGCCTCTTATTGTATTTATACAAGCAAAAATAAAAAAATCATATCCCAAGAACGAATTGAGGTATCAGGATGAAATACAGAATATTTTGAAGCAGATTTAATAAAGATTCAAAGTGCCATAAATGATTTCTTGATGTATTCCATTAAACTGGGTAATGACGATAAGATTCAGCTTTATTTCGGTGACAGTGATATCCTAAACTCTTTCAGTAGAAAGAAATTGGATCAAAATATCTAGAAATAAATTTACCGATAAAAAATGTTGGGTTATGAACAGGGAATAAAGTGAGTGTTTAAAAAAACATGTAAAAACTATTTATTGAACACTTCTTTCTGATTATTATGTACATTTCTGAAAACCTGGTGGTTGATAATTCTTATCAATTTTGCCAGTTTTTATTATATTTTGATAGTTATACGAAGACCTTTTAGCCGTTCTTGTCCTATTGGGAGAGTTAAAATCAACGTGGTATAGTCCAAATTTTTGCCTAAAATACACAATTAAAAAATAAAGTTATAAAACCATTATAAACTTAATCCCTTACGTGTATCCACTTGCCCATTCAAAATTATCTATGAAACTCCAAGCTATGTATGCGGTAACATTACAACCATCTTTATTTATTGCATCTCGTAATTCTTCCAAATAACTCTAAATTAAAATTTAAAAAAAATTCTAATCGAAGCTAATTCTTTTTCACAAAAACTTACATTCATATATTTTACTCTTCCACAATCATTTATATCTCCTCTATCGGCGAATCCGTTCTCAGTAACGATAACTTCAATGTTATTATACTGAGTTCGAATCCAATTTAATATCTTTCGAAAGCCCCATGGTACCACCTTCAACCAAGGTGCTGATGAAGATGGCCATGAGCTGTTTTGAAAGCAGGTTACACCTGCATCTGATTCCAATGATGGCTGGGTTGCATTAGTTCCGGGTTTACAAATTCTCGTTGTATAATGATTATACCCAAGAAAATCTGCTGAACCTCGAAGTTCTCTAATTTCGTGCATTGTAAATGTGGGAAGACGAGATCTAGGGTAGTTTTGCTCTTTACTTAATCGTCCGATTCGTTGCTTCATTACACTTGGATAATCGCCATATTTTGAAAAAATTGGATGAGCAAACCATCCTAACTGAAACATTAAATGATAATTAATTGAATTTAAATTTCCATTCAATTACTTCAAATTGAAGCTTAGTTTCCGCGGCGTTAACATCATCCTTGTTTTTGGAATTTGGTTCGTACCAAATACTTTGATGGGTAATACCAACTTTACCCTTTTGCTTTTCTTTCAAATGTTTTTGATAATATCTATAAACTTTATAATGACTTATTAATAAAGTGTGCCCGCACAAATAGGGTCCTATCCCCGGCGAATTATAATCCGGCGCTAATTTCATTAAAGGAGAACCTTCGTAACCACCAGTACACAAAATTTGCGCTTCGTTTATCGTTATCCAATATTTAACCCTATCCCCAAATTGATTAAACAACACTTTGGCGTAATCTAGTAAATAATCAGACATTAAAGGATTTGTCCATCCTCCTAAGTCTTGAAGGCTTTGAGGAAGATCCCAATGGAAAATCGTAACCATAGGTTGAATACCGTTTTGAAGAAGTTTATTGATCAAGTTATTATAGTAATGTATTCCATCTGGATTCGTGTCGTTTGCAAAGCCATATGGTAAAATTCTTGACCAGGAAATTGAAAATCGATAAAAGTGAACACCTAGATTTTTTAACAGATTAACATCTGTATCTGTCTTGTGATAAGCATCACACGCTACATCTCCCGTGCTGTTGTCCACAATGAAATTGTTGTAATGTGTTGCTGTGTCCCAAATATTTTGACCTTTTCCTAAAGTAGATATTTAATGTTAAACTTTCTGGGTTATTTGTTTTTTCTATTTTTAATAAATTATTACCATTGACATTCCATGCACCTTCTACTTGATAAGCGCTTGTTGCTACGCCAAACTTGAATTCATTGGGAAACTTTTGGTCGTCTGCCGAAGCTAAACATCTAAAAAATCAATTTGTTATAATTATTATAATTGGTTCCGAATTAAAAGAGAGAATCGTATTTAAACAAACAATTATTTTAACTTATTGTAATACATACCTTAACAACAATACAACGATTAACGTTCTCATTCTACAATAGTTTCTCAAACGACTGACTATGGAATTAAAAAAGAATGGTTTTTACATATTTATATACGTTTTATTTACATTCCATTTATAACGATGGTAGTCGCATTAGTCATTCTTTTAAAAATATAAAATTCTGATGTGAAATATCATATTTATTCAGATTCTTTTATGAATATTCACATTAAGTATTTAAGTTATTGGTGACAATTTTAAAAATAAATTCTTAACCCGTGCGACGATAGCAACAAATCTCCCAGCAACAAACTTTTACCCGTAATTTCCTATCTACTTTCTTAGCTGATATTTTCCTTATTATTAGAGGTAGCGAAAAACTAAATGCACCACTTGAAAGCTTGAACCTATTTCTATCTAAAACCGGTAACGTTTTCGTCTGCCGATAAGTTGATATTAAGATCAATAAAAAATGAAGAACACCGCTCTGTACTTAAAATAGCTCAAAATTACCAAACTTCAAGGCCTTGTGCAATTATTATAAAACCGAATTTTAAAAAACTGTAATCACAGTCAGAAAGAGCGGTCCTTCAACTATCTTAATCCGGGTTTTCGTCGGTCAATATCTATCGGCGTCATGCTTAAATCACCCTTAATATCTATCCCTGCACGCAGAAACTTTTAAATACTCTTCCTCTAAACAACTTTCTTATTTGATAGGAGGAAAACTATAGAAGTATATCTATCTTATCGAAAATGTTCTGCTTTTTATAATAATAACTTTCTTATATGACCAGGAGAAAATTCTAGAACCTTTTTAATTTAACAACAATTATTAATAAAAATAATTAAAAAGATGTACAAAAATTGTAATAAAAAATAGCTTACATAATCTTTGAAATTTTTTTTTAAGTTATACAGTGTAGTGTGCTATGGCACGCCAACTAATTATTATATAAAAAAACAAAAAAATAAAAAGTTGAATGTTTTATAAAGAACAATAACAAGACATGCAATAAAAAACGTCTTTATAAAATAACGATATAATTTTATTAATTTATAAAAGTTGGTCTTACTAGACTTTCTTACGAGACTTTGTGATTACATCCCATACTAGTAGAGTTACGAATAAATATACTATATACAGTGTGTCCCCGGATAGGTGAAGCGACTCTTATAAAAGGTAACATTTTTTCGATATTAATTGTCATTTTTTGGGGTTTAGCCCTGCTTGGTTAAAGGCTAATTTTGAACATATTTTGAAGTTTTAGGAAACAAGTGAGTGTTAACAGTGAAGCAAAAACTCCCAAACCGTTCTTAAAATGTTCACAAAAAATTAAGTGTTTATTTGCCTACAAAAGAAAACAGTTAATCGGTTTCATCATAATTTTTTTTCTTTTTTCTTATAATGTACACTTCCTGCTGTAAGAAATCTTTTAATTAAACGCCAACTAGTACTTCTTTTAATTCCAGCATTTGGAAATTTTTCACTAAATAAAGCAATAACTGTATTTATTCATTTTTCCCCGGTTCCATAATACTGAATCACGTAAACTTTTTTCTCTAATGTTAACATTGTATTTAGAAGACACTTTAAGTTTACTAAATTACAATGTGACAGATTAACATTGACAGGAAACCAATTTTGTTTTTCCATAGCTGTCTTTGTTAGAAATAAAATTTTTTGATTTATTCTGAACAAAACCTCTTAGTAACACTTTCACGTACTGTAATCAGAAAAGGTACTTTACCTGCCACAAAAAGAGTATTTCTTTCACTGCCAAGGTTCACTTGTTCACTTGTTGGTACACTCGTGATCTTTTTAAATGAAAAGTAAAGAAGGATGGCTAGCTCGGAGTCGGGGACGCTCGGGTTGGTTTATTTTGAGACCCGGGGCGAGACTTCTTCTCTACCTGCTTTGGTCGTCATGATTACTCCGGCCCCTTAGCCTTGCGCCGGGTTTCAAAGTAAACCATCCCGACCGTCCCCGACTCCGAGCTAGCCATCCTTCTTTAATTTTCATTTAAAAAGATCACGAGTGTACACTCACCCCATAAAATGAGGGATTGATTATCAAATGGGAAAACAAAGTGTTTTCATGTTTTTTTGCAAGTTTATTACGATTTTTATAACAAATGTTCAAATTGTCGACCTTCTTCGGTCTCGCAATGACCCAACCGCCCATAAACCATCAGTAGCATATCCCGTGTGATATTGGTGGTTTCTTCAAATATGAGATTTTTCAAATCATTTATTGATTCTGGTTTTGTTGCATAAACTCTACTTTTCAGAAACCCTCAACAGAAAAAATCCAATGGTGTTAGGTCAGGAGATCGTGGTGGCCACTCAATTTCACCTGTTCTACCAATTCAACGGTTTGGAAACGTGCGGCTTAAAAAGTCTCGGACTGCGCGACTAAAATGTGGAGGAGTACCATCTTGTTGGAACCACTTATTGTCAATATCATTAGGTACACTTGGAATCACTTGATTTTCTAACAGTTGCAATCCCAAACAGATCCTTGGGTTGGGTTGGGTTGAGTTGAAAAAATGTGAAGTTATAACCCGTGTACCTAATAGCATTCCTGAACATCTAGCTGATGCGAATCAAATTAATAAGTATTTCGCAAGCGTAACCTCTTCGAGTGACCTATTGACATTGATTGATATAATTTTTATATGCATAATGTTATTATAAAAGATTCATTTAATTTTGAATTGGTCACTGATTTGGACATAGAGAGGATTATTCGCTCAATAAGAAGCAATGCTGCAGGACTTGATGGGTTAAGCATTAGAATGATCAATTATTGTTGCCCACACATAATTCCTCAAATAAAAGATGTTGTTAACTCCTGCATATCAAACTGTCAATTTCCTAACGTTTGGAAAAAGGCAAAAGTGATTCCTTTGCTGACCTACGTCCGATCAGCATCTTACCGGTGTTGGGGAAGATTATGTGTGAGCAATTACGCGACTTTGTCTATAGAAATGAATTATTACCTGAGGTGCAATCTGGCTTCAGGTCGGGACATAGCTGCACCACCGCATTGTTGAACATTGTGGATGATATTCTGAGGGCATCTGATAATGGAAAGGTAACTGTGCTGTGCTTGCTTGACTATTCTAAAGCCTTTGATAGAATGAATCAGAAAATGTTGTTTTCAATACTAAATCATATAGGGTTGAGTCAATAAGCAATAAGTCTCCTGATAGATTATTTATCAGATAGGGAGCAACAAGTAACAGTAAATGATTGCCTTTCAGATAGTGTATTGGTAAAATTCGGATGCCCACAGGGATCAATATTACCCCCTCTATTGTTTAACATCTATACAAGCAATTTTAAAAATATAATGCGGTATTGCACAGCCCATTGGTATGCGGATGATACGCAGATTTACTATTCGTAATCAGAGTCGGAGATGGACGCTGCGTGTGCCAGAATTAATGATGATTTGAAACGACTAGTTCAGCTTTCTGATGAACATGGCTTACGCGTCAACCCACAAAAAACAGAACTAATACTATTTGGCCCAAAATCACTTAAACAACGATTAATAAACAAAATTAACATTAAAATTAACAACGAGCAGTTAGTATTTAGCAAGCCTGTGAAAAACTTAGGTGTAATATTAGATGAAAATTTAAAATTTGATTTGCACATTAATAAATGCCTACAGAAGGCCTATGACTCTCTAAAACTTATTTATTCTAATCGGGCGTACATAAATAAAGCAACTAAGCGATTACTATGTGATAGCATGGTGTTATCACATTTATTATCTGTATTACCCATTTCTAACGTATGCACTTAAATATAAAATCCAAAACGTGCAAAACTCTTGTATACGTCTATTGTTTGGGTTGAAGCGAAGGGATCATGTAAGTCATAAACTGTCAGAAATAAGCTGGTTAAATATGCAGTCGAGACGCCTGACACATGCGGCGTTGCTGTTTCGCAATTTACTAGTTGGAGAAAAGTCTGCATACTTGTTTAGTAAAATTTCTTTTCGCTCCGATGTGCACAATCTTAATCTAAGATTTAATGGAACGCTAACACCGCCTTTACACAGAACAGAATTTTTTAAGAACAGCTTTACCTACCAAATTTATAAAATATTTAAGGAGTTGATTGTAAAGGTTGGGATGTGCTCTTCGGTAGGGCGGTTTAGAATGGAAATAAAAATAACACTAATTTAGGGTCCAGAGAGTTTGTAGGGATGGAGTGGGAGCGGCGAGGTACAGTTTGTGTTTTTCTTGCTTGTTTTGCGGTATTTAATTATTAACTTTAATATTTGCTTGAATTAGATGGTGTACTCTCGTGTGATTGTTTGAATGTATACTTAATGGGCTAGTGGAAGAACGGCGTCAGTCGAACTAGTTCATATTGAGCGCGCTGTTTTATACCTGGCAGGCCAGGAAATTGGACCTCCCCTTCCAATCCATGGCCCAGCGTAAGTATGGACCGATCAATTTATCACCAATTATACCACACCAATCATTAACCGATCAAGGTCGTTGATGTTCTATTTCACGCAACCATCTCGGATTTTCAACGCGCCAATAGTGCATGTTATGTCTATTGACTTGTCCTTTGTTTGTAAAATTAGACTTATCCGAGAATAGCATTCCGTCCCTGTGCAGGGTGGGCAAATTTGGGTGTTATTATAGGCTATCTCAGAAACTATAACAGATACGAAAAAAGTAGGTGCCATGTCCCGGTTTCTTTTTTCGAGACTAACCCAATCCCGCAAACACCAAACCTCTATCTTCTTTTGTTTTTTAGTTATGGCCAAAAAGTCAAATTTTCGTGATTTCAAAAAATGCTCATATTTCGTTTATTTTTGAAATTAGAGGAATGAGGTTGATACGTTCTTAAGACACTTTTTTAAGTAGAATATACTGCCATTGAAAAATTTTAAAAATATTTAATGATTTTAGAGATAAAACACAAAGTTGTATTTTTTTAAATACAAACTATAGTATAAGTACGAAGGCTTTCACGGCCGGTGTGAATTAAACTAAAATTAGAACTAAAACTAGAACTAACACTAGAAACTTTCGGGTTTTGCCGTGCGTC